TTACTTGTCCTGTTGCTACACACCACCGAGAAGAACCTAGCTTCATCCATTTGCCTTCCACCTCCCTCTAGATATTTATAAACATTTATCAGATCCCCTCTTAGTCTTATTTTCCCCACACTGAACAGACATAGGCTAATCAGCTTTCCTTATACAAGAGATTCTTCAGGCCCTTTACCATCTTTGTGACCCTATGGTGGACTCTTTCTAGGAGATGCCTGTCTTTTTTGAACTGGGGAGCCCAGAACTAGACACAGTAGGCTCAGTGTGGCCTCAGCAGGGTAGGGAGAGGCCATCTAATCCAACCTCTTGCCCAGTGCTTGAGAGAACATCAAACCCAACCTCCTGCTCAAAGCTACAGAACTGCAATACTCCCAAAGGCATCTCTCCTCTAGGCTGGTCTTCTGTCTCTCCGTGCAAGTTCTCCAGCCTCCACCATCCTGGTGGCCTCTCCAAATCTCTTCCAGCCTGAGCTCTTCCATCATTCTTTAGGAAATCTAAGGCCAGTAAATAGTTTTTCTGAACATCAACATAATGCATGGCAGCAATCACAAATAGTGAGCTGTAAGGGCTCACTTAAAGCTATCAGCATGTCCCTTACAAGATGGGCCCTAAACTAGATACAGAGTTCCAGTTGAGGTCTAATAAATTATTAGGAGAACCCTTTATTTGTTGGCTATACTGCACTAATGATTTATACAACTTTTTATACACCCTGGCCTCCTGTATATTTCTTTTCACTTGTCAGGACTGAAAAGTTCTGATATTATTATTTCTTATCACTGTGAGATTCCTCTGCATCTTACCAATCAAGTTTAATTCTTTTAAGATGATCCCCACAGTGAACTATGCCATCTCAGCCTCAACCCATTTCTCCAGATTGTTTTTAAGTACAGCAGTGCAGTATGATTCAAGTACTATGACAGTCTGACAGCAGAATTTATCCTGTTTCTCAGTTTCGTAACAGAAGCAGCCATGCCTTCAACCAAAGAGTATGATTAGCCCCAGCCTCTCCCCATCCCTCCAGCAAAACCAGAAAATACAAAACAGTTCATAAGGGATGTGGAAATACCATAGTTCTCTGCCCTGCCATACTCACAGTTTTATCCATAGAAAGAACTATTCAAAATATTTGCTGTTTTCTCTGTTCCTATTACTGTGTTTTTGTTTCAAAGTGGGCTTAGCCAGAAACAGAGAATGCTGATAGGCAGCACCACTGCAGCCACAAAGAAACCTACAACCACTAGCACTACAGACAGCAGTGAGCATGTGAGGACGGGGTCTTCAGCACTGAATTTACAGGGACTGGGTTACAGCAGCAATGCAAGCACCTGAGCAACGAGGGCACGAATAAAAGGAGCATCTTGTCTGTCTGGGCTCCTGAACAGCATAGAGATCAGGTGCACAAAGTTCACCTAATCACCGGGGTCCATCTGTAGAGCAGACATATGCGGCTGTAACAGATACTGCCTTTTATGTGAAGGTGAGAAAAATTCTCAAATGGGGGACTCAAATGAACTGAAGCTCATTGGGCTGTCACCACCACCGCTTCAGAAGTCTCCATTATCTCTTTTGCTTCTGTTTCTCAAATTTCCCTTGAAAGCTTGATTCTGGCTTTGACATGCAGATGCTAGAATGAAAATGGAAATGTGTAATGCTTAGAGGAGGAGGTCACTTGAATTCTTTCAGGAACTAAATGAGACAAAAGGAAACTGTAAATTTACTTCACTATGAGATGAAGAGCACCTCTTGACCGGGACTTTGTTTCTCTGCTGAGGACCAGGCTCCCTTCCAGACGGTCTGCTGGCACTGATTGCTCAGGGTGTGAGGAGGACACAGTGGGGGGGGTCAGCGCTGGGGTGTCTGCATCCCTCCTGGGACAGAGGCTTGCTCAGCATTTCGGTTCTTGCTGCAGTATTTTCTGAGACTGTCAATGTCAGATGCCCAGACTGCCTTTTTAGCCCGTAAAAATGGGTTTCAGTGGCTGCCTGCACTTTGGAAACAAGGTCCAAGAGTCCATGGCTTTTCATGGCCACCTTTTCTCTTACTTTATTGCACAATGCAAACACTACGTCTACTGAGCCTCATATTCAGTACGGTAACATAGCGCATTTGGGAAGACCTTGGGTTTTCCTCTAAGACAACACCCAGTGCTGTCCAAGGGAACTGCTTAAAGTTCTTGTGGTAAGAGGAGCTCCAGTTTCAGGAAAACAGTGTGATTACATGTACCAACAAATGTCAGCTGGTTCTTCACATCTTGACTTCCCTAAGTCTCCTCCATCTAAAATGAACTAGATCAAATCCCTCACATTCGTGCATTCAGTGAGTTACCTGTGCTGGTGGAGGAGGACTCAGTCCCTATTCTGTCATCCTTTATTACAGGAAAGTGGCCTATGCACTGCCTGTGTGCTGCCTCCAGAACCAGAATGTTTTTTCTGCCATTCTGTGGGCTTGTCTCTGATGCAAAAATCCTTCTTTTCTGAAATTTTGATCTTGGGCTTGCCTTATCTTTTGAGATCACAGACATTGGTATTTTACTTGCTGTTTTCAGTCTTGCAGTCCTATGTGTCCTATTCCCCAATCTGTTCTTTCACCACGTATTTTCCTTCTTCATTTACCACCTTTCTGGACCAGAATCTCAGAATGCATTCTCCTTTACTCTCTTCAAGACAGAATAATTTATTGTTGCACATTTTCCACTTCTTCCAGAATTGACTCAGCTTATATGTAACCTTTCCATAATCTATAATAAATATTTTTTCCTGTTCCCACGTGAAAGTTACATTACCCCTATTTTTTCCTGTCTACTCATCATTGTCAAATTTTCCTCAGGTCATTTTATGGGGAGGGTGGTATATAAAACATTGATTGCATGGTATCCTAGGAAACTGGCTGTTTTTAGTGTTATCAGTGGCATTGTTAGAATGAACAATATTATAAGGAGGCTTGATGTGAATTTCAGAAGACAAGTTACAGATCTATTCACATCAAAGAGAGACAGTGAGACTTGTAACATGGGGAGGGAATACATGACCACATCCTAAAAGTCTCATAAAAGATTCCTCTTTAGCCTTATGTAATCTGAAATAGTAATAGGTCCATATAACACAAACCTTTGTGTCTCTCCCATGTGCTAATGAAAAATTTAATGCGTCTCTTGCCGCCTTTTACATTTAAGCAGTAGAGTGAATGTTTCCAGAACCAAACTTTTCCACTTTTTTTTTTTTTTTTTCTGTTGTCTTGAAATCATTGCATACCCCAGGAAATAAAATCCTCATGATAATCACCACACTGAATACCATAAAGAGAAAATAATACATGGCTTAAAATGGGCAATGTTGCAAACTTACAGTTCCAAAATTACGATACCCAGTTCCCAAGACAGGAACTGAAAATGTGTAATTCTAAAGCTGTGATTTGTACAACTGCAGAGAAATCTGCCTTGAGGAAGAACAAGGAAGTGGTGTGTGAACTTCAGCTGAAAATCTTAATTACGATGAGCTCAAAAGCAAATCTGACACTATTCTCTGCCAGCACCAGATAGTTGGATCTCACCTCATCTCCACACAAAGCCCTGCAACACAGAGCCCTCTGGGATCCCTTCAAAACTGTAAAGGAATCAGGTTCTTCTCTGCGCTGTGAAAAAAATCCTGTTTTATAGCAACTTTGGGGACACAGTTCCAGTGAGACCCAGCCCTGTGGCTCCTGCTCCATGAGGGGCTGCATAGCAGAGGCCTCCAAGCTCTGAGCCAGCCCTGTCTGCAGGTTGCTGAGCTGCCAGGTGAACAGCCTGCAGGACAGCAGGAATACTCCTCCATCAGCTGTTTTCTGAGTTTTTCTGTCTTGATTTATTACTCTTTTTGCTGCATGAGGCCCAGAGCCTCAGTCAGGAACAAAAAGTCCACACAGCGCAAATACAAATAAATGCTAGGAGCAGCATGGAAACATCACACAAGTGCACTCATGAAAGCAAACAACTTATCCTTTCTATTTTTAAGAAGCCTGCAATTTTTCAGCCTGATTCATGATTTTTTTTATTATTATTATTTTTTTTTTTTTGTGAGAGGCTGAATTATTTGGGAAGAAGACAGTCATACTTGTCTATGTCTAGTGTTGGGCAGCCAATAGCTGTGCTCTGAAACACCCATGGAGAAACCTTTCTTCTTTGACAGTGTAGGAAATTTGGCTGGTTAAAGTGCCCTGATTCATCCTGCAATTAAATGCCTTGAACAGGATTGCAAAAATGCATGTGAAGTTGCGATAATTATCTATGACAAAGCTGGAACGATCATGGGTCTAAAGAGCCTCTGTGCTTTAAGAAACTGTGGTCTTATGGGGCTGGTGTGTAAGCCCATCAGAAAGGTATGTATGCACAGCTAGAAAACAGATATCTGACTTTGTGTCCTGACTAAAGGGAATGGCACTAAAAGCCTTCCCAGAAGTTACTGTGATTTGGTGGCATATGAAAGCACAAGCAAGGAAGACACAAGAGGTACAAGGAGGCATTATGTGAGGAGCAGCTGAGGTGCCTGGCTGCGCTCAGCCCAGAGCAGAGGAGCTGAGGGGAGGCCTGATGGCGGCTGCAGCTCCTCACAGGGAATGGAGGGCAGCGCTGAGCTCTGCTCTGTGTGACAGCGACAGGGCTGAGGGAACGGCATGGAGCTGTGTGAGGGGAGGGCAGCTGGGCTCAGGGAATGGTTCTGCACCAGAGGGCGGTGGGCATGGAACGGGCTGCACAGGGCTGTGGCACGGCCCCGAGTGCTGGAGTTCAAGGAGCATCTGGACACTGCTCACAGACACTGGGTTTGGATTTTGGATGGTGCTGAGTGAAGCCGGGAATTGGATTCATTGTTTCCTGTAGGTCACTTCCAGCTCAGGAGATTGCACGATTCTATGGCTAGCTTCAGTAGAGAGCAGCTTGCATGGAAATCAAGAAGCTTTTGCTTTCAGGGAAAAGATGATAACATCGACATGAAACATCTGAAAGATTTGCGATCCACTGTAGTGGAAAAATACTATTTTTATTATTTGATATTATTCTTTAACTGATTTATGACCTGTTACCACAGTGATTTCTGAGGCTATTTACTTTTCATGCAATACTTCTCAATGACAATGCAGGTTTCTTTAAAGCCAGTATTAGTCATTAGCTGGAAGGAGAGCATCAATGCGAACCAAATGAATGAGTTTCCTTACATTTGGAGTTTTTTTGTTCCATCAGCATGCACACTCTGGAAATGTATTGAAAAAAATCAGCTATGTATATGAGCTAGGTTTGTGCTTAGGAACGAATGCATTGCAGAAAAAAAAAGCAAAAGCATTCTTTATAGTAAAGTATCTTGTCTTTTGGGGGTCTGTGTTGCTAATGAAGGTGGATGGGCTTGCTCTGGTGCAGTAGAAACTACTGCTCACCTACAAAGTAGCTTTTGGAGAAACAAGAGCTGGAGAGGCTAGAATTCTCACCCTTGCTATCCCATGTTTCTTAGAAGGTATGGAATGCATGCTGTGTCCCATTTTGTAGTTTTGTCCATCCTCCTGTAAGAACTGTGCTCCTCATCCTCATCCAGATAGGTTATCCTGATCCTCAGTCTGAGGGTCAGAGCCTTCACCTCTGAGATGACATGAGATAGATAGAAATGTTTCCAGGTAAAATGTGAAAGGTTTTTATAGAGAGTAGCTTTGGTCTTTCTTTGTGGAGAATTTCTGTACGAAATGCTTCCTTTCCACAGAAAATGTATGTGGGGATTTGTTTTAATAAAAAGCAAATACTAGAAAATTTTTCCTAATGCTTCCCTGCAGCACTGATCTGCAGCCAGACTTTACTCCCCACAATGTATCCCATAGATGTTTCCCCATGATGTGTGACCTGCTGTTGTAAATGTATTTTCTGCCCAGCTAGCTCTCACTCCATTTTTTTCAAAACAATCTCTGTTCCAAATTCACATAAGCTGAAACCAAGTGGAACTATGTAGGCAGATTGCAGCGCTCTGAATCCAAAGCATAAAAATCACCTCACTTATTTCCCCTGGCTCCCCAAATCCCGGCTGCACTTCCCAAAACAGAAGGAGGGAATCTCACACCAAGTAGCTATTATTCACCTTTCCCCTTTCTCACTGATATCAGGAAACATGGCAGCCCACAGACTTGCCTGTCCCATGTCCCATGCCATCTCCATGTCCATGGAAGTGCACAATGAAGGCAGGGTGAGTCTGGCAGCTCCACAACAGTTGTTCTCTGTGAATGCTCAGGTGGGACAAGCAGGACTCACTGCAGCAGGCAGTAGTGTCAACACAATCACACCACTTTTTGACTTTGCTTCCTGTTCCAACATCAGGATGGATCTCAGCAGGAGGCCTCCACGATAGTTCTCCGTCGTGGATACGTTTTTCTCTTGCTGATTTTCCCTGTTCCCTCTGGACAGTTTGGTAGATGCTGTTCCTGACATTGTTGCTGTAAGACACCTCAAATCCTTCAGTTAACCTGTGAAATGTAAGAGCTGAATATACTTTTTAAAGCTCAATATATCTTGTATTAAAGGACACTGAGAAGAGTTTGTCAGGGAAAAAAGAGAGACTTAATATTAAGTTTAAAAGAGACAACTGAATGTTGTTTCTGTGAATTGTATACTGTTTAATCTACTTTAAGTGACAGGAAATAAGCATCTCCCCTGTGTCTGATTATACCCTTATTAATGCTGCTGCATTGCTGGAGTGAGAGGCAAGGCAGGTTTGGCAAGGATGAGCCCTTGGCTGCCTGCCCCCAGACCATGGGGATTGCAGGAGGCACTACACCGACTGCCTCCACCAGATCCATCCTTCCCATTACCACGAGCAGCCCTTCAGGCTCCATGCTCACCGTCAGTCAGTAGGGGAGCTTTGACAAGGCCCAGGCTTTGCTCCAAAAGAGACAGAGGTGGTAACATCACACCTACAGGTCAGAAGATAAAGGCAGGTAAAACACCCTGCTCGAAGAAGCAAAAAAGGAGATCAAATCAGCTCCCATGAAAGGGTAACTCATAGACTGAGCTCCAATGAGAGGATGCCGTTGTCCTCCTTTTAGCAAGCCCCTCCTCTTTTTTCCAACACATACTAATAAAAGATATTCAAGCACAAAACAAAGTAAATCCAAATGAAAAATTCAGCCTGCCCGCTGAATGGCTGATTTAATGAAACTCATGCTTTGCAAGGTTATCTTTTAATCTTTTACTGGGGTAAATGAAAAAAAAAAAATCATTATACACACCTAAGACAAAATTTGCTGTTGAACATCTTCTTTTAACTACACAGGAGTACAACTGTTCTTCTGACTGGTGATTTTAAGAGAACTTGGAACAATAAATCAGAAAATGTCAGGTTTCAATTAGATGGATTAATGAAGGGGATAGTGGCAACTTGTGGGAGGGAAAAATAAACCATGAAAAGCAAAAACACGGGTAATACAAAACATATGTAAATGAGGATCTAAGGAACCTCTTTAGCGTACTTAGCATGAAACTATTAACACTTTGATAGGCAGAAAAGGCAGCTTTGAGGCATCCCAGCTGGAGTGAGCCAGATGCGGACACATGGACTTTTACATTCTGAGACATAGGCTGCAATAGAAACTTTCCCTCTGGTTTTGAACAAAGGGAAACACATGTTCAGGTCATTTAGCCAAGGGGCATTGGACAACAAGGGTGGCTGATGTTCTCATGTACCTGTGGGCAGCAGGATACCACAGCAGCTCAGCAGAAATGAATGCACCCAACCAGAACCTGCAAACTGACAGCTCCAATACTAACATCAGGGGACTTGGCTTTTGCAGTTTTCCTTCTTTTAGTTCATGTTTTTGCAATGATCTGCCACAAACAGATAATTTAGAGTACATTGTATGAGTTGAGTGTTTTCTCATATTGATTGCTAGCCTCCAGTTTTACGTAACCCAGTCTTACCCTTTTCAGATTCATGCCCATAGATCCAAATTTTCCTTCCAATAAAAGCTGTGGAAATTTTGCCACTGACTTTTCTCAATTTCCAGCACTTTTCCCATACTTCTGGTTTTACATTCAGCTGAGTCTTAAATCCTCAAACTTCTCTGTATAAGACCAACACCAGGAAGGAATGAGGACATTCAGTTTTCAGCTTAGGCAAGACAACTGCTGAGCCATTAGAAACTCATGTGGGTTTATAAGGCCCCTAGGCACTAGAGAAAGGTTGACGTGCTATCTTATGCAGAAATGGAAAATATGGGGAACAACCAACCAGTTTAACCTTGGCAAGATACTGCAACAAAGTATTAAGCAACTGCTTCATAGCAAATTGGAATAACTCTCTGATAAAAAGAACTGGTTAACTTGGATTTATGAAGAACAAAGAATGTCAAACCACAGTCTCTTCCACTGAGAGGGAAAATGTTTTACTGTCTGGGAAGAATTCATCGGTTCAATTTTGAGTTTAATAATGTGTTTTCTGACATTTCCCTTGCTGCGGACATAAGTTTTAAACGAAAATTCCCCCAAATGGGCATGCAGCTGGCTGTAAAACATGCAGTCAAGTAATAACATTCAGGGCATCAGTCTCACGAAACACACTTTTTAGAGCACTGCAGGTATCTACTGGGCTTTCATTACTAGATTTCTAGCCATCCAGGTCTGAAATTTGAGGTGACAAATGGCACTTTTGCTATTAGAGGTGCGCATGGAGATACCTACACCAGCCTCACACAAGCAGAGCTGTTGGTTCAGGCATGGGAAGGTTTACTGGCACAGGCGTGCAGAGAGTTATGGATGCCTCATCACTGGAGACATTCAAGGCTGGATTGGATGGGGCACTGGGCAGCCTGATCTGTTCAGTGGCAGTCCTGTCCATGACAGGGGGTTAGAACTGGATGGTCTCTAAGTTCCCTTGCAAGCTAAGCCATTATACGATTCTGTGATTCTATGATTCTGGGATAAGGTTTCACCACATAGACTGCAAGTTGTTGTGTTGAACCCTTCATCTGTGCCTTAGGACTGCTGCAGTGCATCCATGCTGGGCTTTGAGTATAGCTGTCACCAGGCTGCATGTTCCAGATAACACAGGTGGCCCTCATGGCAGGCACTGCCAGCCTACAGAGAGCACACTGCATCTGTCTATATTCCCAAGACAGAGGAGCTGGTCATAAAGAAGTCTGTAAGGGAATGTAATGTAGAACTATATCTCCCAAGTCACAGGTTGTTGCTCACCTGTAGGGGAAAAAGTACATTGTTTTGTATACTTGGAAAAAGGATGAAAAACAAAGGGAGGGAGGAAGGAAAGGAAGTGGGAAGGAAGGGGGAAGGGGTGGGAGGGAGGGAGGGAGGGAGGGAGGGAGAAAGGAAGGAAAAATGGAAGGAAGGGAGGGAGAGAGGAAGGGAGGAAAGCAGGAAGGGAGGAAGGAGGAAGTAGGGATGTTTGTTATAAAATATTTTACTGAAAGCTCATTGTTTGATGCTGTAAGAAAAGTTATGTTTTCCAAGTGGTGAAACTGTCAGCCATGCTTTCGATATATCTAGGACTAGGTAGCCAACAGATCTCTACAGACAAAATACAGACATGAGTTTGGTCTCACAAGGATCAAAATTGGAATTATAAGCAGAACTCCTAAGCTAATGGCTGATAACACATCTTGTAAATCATTATGTTGAACAAAAAGCCTTCTGAGATTTCTTTTCAGCGCACAGCTGATCATCAAATCTCTTTTAGGTCTTTGAAGGTTATTTTGAAATTAAATCAATACTTAGCTCTGCTGCTGTCCTTCATTGAACGCATCCAAAAGACAGAACCCTTTTCTCAAACAAAGGGAATCCTTGTCCTAACTTTGACTAAAAACTCTTCACTCCAATATATGGAATACTGGAATATTCCAGGGAAGCTTCTAAATAAGTTCAGCAAACAGTTGCTCAATCCTTTCTTTCCTCCCTTTGGATCCCGGGTGCTGACCTGGCATTCATTCCTTGTTTGCCATGGGGAGCTCTGCAAACCAAGTTTCCATGGCAGCGCTGATCTGTGAATGCGGCTGTCTCCATCCATGGTCACTGAGGACATGCTTTGCCCTTCTGGTGTCCCATTGCTGGCTGCTCCTGGTGACAGAAAACAAGCACCTTCAGCAAACATGACCTATTGAGCTCTGCCAGGGGCCTGGGCAGTGCAGTGCAGGGACATCCTTACTCCTGGGATTTTCCACCCAGGTCTCTCAAAGGCTTCCCACCCTTAATATAGTCTGGTTTTTTTAGATGCAGGTATGACTTAAGAAAAGGCAAACCCAGCACTGCAAATCCTTTCCCATCAGCCCCAGAAACCTCTGGCAAATGGTTTCTGCACAGAAACAATGAACACAAAGTCCACCACATTCCCCAAACATCACCTAACTTATTCATTTCATGCCTAACAATCAAAGACAGTTCTTCTGGGCAGTAAAATAGTTGTTTACAAAAATTGCATAAGAGGATGACAGAGAAACGTTTCTAGATTTCACTTTTTAAACTGCTAAAAATGGTACTATTTCCATTGGTTGGTTGGAAAAGTGTCTGAAATGCGTTCAAGCAGAAAAACTGTCTATTTGGAGGATATAACCTATATATTCTTTAAAGCATAACTCTTTCCTGTCTCCCCCAGGTTTCCTTCCTTTGTTCTGGGGTACTCAAGTCTTGCTACTCACCTTCATTTAACCAGGTCCATAAGGAGCAGCACAAAGGCTGGGCACCATGTGCAGGCATCTGGCCTTTGTGCACTGTCAGTTACTGCCGCAGTGTTGTCTGATTTCATGTGTTTGCCCTCACGTAACACAGAATGTTGTCACATTCTGATCGTTATCTCCAAGTTCTGCAAATACTCCTCAGAAAATACAGACAGCTAAGTCCCTTACTTTGGGAAAATTCCCACTGCCACCATGCAGTAGATGTTTTACCCACAATTAGCAGCTACCATCAGTGTATTTATAGGAATTCCTCTGAAATCGAAAACACAGCCTAATGGGGTATAAAAGAAAGAGAAAGGAAGTGACTTTTGGACATAGCATGCTTCCACCCCACAGAGCTGAGGTTGGACAGTGAAGGGACCCCTGGCCCAGAGTCCTGCCAGTTACTTTAATCCTGACCTGAAGAGGAATGATACTAAACACTCCCCAAAAATGCTTCCAAACATTGCCATAGGAGAAAGGAAAAATGTTAACTCTGCCCTCACTGATCCAGCTCTGGTAGGGGGCAAATTCCACTTTACGTGGAGTAACATAAACATGAAAGACATACCCTCCAGTGAAAATCTTGCACAACCTCCTAGAACGGGCAGAATTAATCACAGGGAATAATTACGGTTCTAAACAAGAATATTTATGGCATTACATAAACACCATTAAAACAAACTGAAAGGCAATAATTTTTCGAAGGAGGAAAGGAGGAAGTAGGTGTGTGGGGGGTGGGGGGGGCGAGGGGGTGCAAAAACCAATCAAAATTTATAGTTGAAAAGATAAAAGTTCCTATGTGTCAATCATCTTGGAAATTGTTTCTTCAGCCATCACTTGCACCTTGTTTAATTCCCTTAATAAAATGAGGAAAGAATTTTGTTTATAAAGTTACCCAGTATTTGGAGTTTAAAGCAGTTTTCCTTAAAAAAGATTCTTTCAAACGGAAGAAGAAAAGTGGAAAAGTTCTTTCCAAAATGTTTCAACTTAAAAAAAAAAAAAACAAAACAAAACAAAAAACCACCAAAAATAATTTCAAGACATTATCATCCCAGAAACCCTCTTTTCTTCCTCCTTCCCTTTTTTCTCTTTTTCCTGAGGCAGAAAAGGATGAAGGGAAGAGGGAGTTTTCCTCCCTTGTCACTGACTGAAAAAATTAAGACAGCTGTATTATTAAATGAGAAAGTGGAAAGAGTTGCAGAGAAAGGCATTTGGGAATTTTCTTTTGCAATGTTCTTGAGGCATTTTTCTAACCAGTTCTAAGTATTAGAGCTGGGGCAAAAGCTTTCTGTGCCTTTTACACACCAGATGCTATTCTGGAAAAGTGGAGTTGCAGACGTGCCCCGCACAGTGTGGGGCTGCCTGAGCAGCAGAGTGTCTGACAGCAACTGAGGGCACATCTGCAGATCCAGAAATCTCCTCGTCAAGTAAGCTCCTGTTACCCTCCATTGGATTCTGGTTAGACACAGGTGAAAGCAGTGCCTACGTGTACCAGGAGCATGTGGAAGTGGTTTAGAATTATGCTGTTAAAAGAAAAGTTTTGTTCAAAATGCTGTTCCCTTGTTGTCTATTCAGACTTGGGCATATTCCAGCATCTAGAAATGGATGGGAGCTAGCAACACCCAGAGCCAGAAAACACATTTATCTCCTTTAAAATTCCCTCTTTAGGGAGCTGGCTTCTGGGAAATGCAGTCCAACTTCCTCCCATGCAGAGTACTAGCCCAAAAATGTATGGGGGATTTTTGAGCCAGGCAGAGCACAAGAGGCTCGTGTTGGAGGCTCATGGCAGTGATGAGGGCAGTCTGTGAATGTGCCATGGGCTGACATTCAGCAACAGGGAGTTGCTAAATGCGGATGTGCACTTGAAAACTGGATGCACTTCTGCAGTAGATTTTGTGGAAATGGTCTCCTACGGCCTCGCTCCAGACAAGCATGAAAATGTTCTCAGCTGGCTGCAAGCTGTGGGATCAATATCAAGTCTGTGATTTGCATAGAAATGCTGTAATCTAATTGATGCACATGGGCAACAGATATGCTTTTGCAAATCAGCTGTGATTACCAGGATCCCTCCTAGGAGTCACTAAACAATGTCTGGCTGCTGGGCCGCGGAACACACACAGGGCAACTCAAACCTCCCAAACAATTTTCCACTCTGCCACCCAGGCTCCATTAGCCAAACACTTGTAAAAGAGAACACGACAACACAGACAGCTTGGTTTCAGCTGAAAGGCCCAAAGTACAAAAATTCATTCTAGCCCAATTGTTTGAAAATACAAAAACTCACATAACCCAATTGTTTGAAAATACAGAATCCCATCTAGCCCAACACAGACTGCCTCCAATTTCTCTTCTGGTGCAGCAGAACGTGTCACTTTGCATGTTGTGTTGGGTCTCCGTGTTTGGGACAAGGAAGATGTGGAGCTGTTGGAGCAGAGGGGTCAAAAGATGCTCAGAGGGATGGAGCACCTCTCCCATGGAAACTGGCTGAGGGAGCTGGGACTAGAGAAGAGAAGGCTCCAGGAAGCTGCACTGCAGCCTTTTAGTACTTGAAGGAAACTTATGGTCAGGAGAGGAGCCACCATTTTACACAGTCTTATAGCAATAGGACAAGGAGGAGTGGTTTTAGACTAAAAGAGGAGAGATTTAGGTTGGATGTTAGGAGGAAATTCTTTACTCATAGATTAGTGGAATGGGTTGCCTAGAGACGTTGTGGATACCCAATCCCCAGTGCATTCAGGGCCAGACTGGATGGGACCCTGGGCAATCTGATCACTGCTACCATGACAGAAGTATTGGAACTAGACAGTCTTTAAGTCCTTTCCAACCCAAAGTATTCTATAATTCTGTGATTCTGTGATTTTTTTCTGAAACAAGAGATGTCCACCTGCTCCCCATTTCCCAGGCACAGTCTGAGCCCTCACTTGGGCCTGCTAGCCCATCTGGCAAGTCAGAGGCCAGACATGGCTACACTTCCTGCCTCTGCTTCTCCTGGTGGCAGCAGCCAGGTGCAGGGCCAGGAACATCCCTACCCCCCAGTGTGCTCATTGAGGCGTTGGGGAGGGTTTGTGCTGCTGACTTCAGTAGTCAGGCAGCATTTTTTGAGTCAGAATGACGGTTTAAGTGAGGTCCTTCCCCTGACCTTCCCATGACACTGTGCTCATGAATAACCAGGTCTGTTGCTGCCCCTCGCGCTTAATTTTCTCTGAGGAAATCTTCTGTTAAGGGGCAACAGTTTTCCATTTCAGTATACAGCACTGCCCAGCTGCTTGTTATTTCACTTGGCTGAGCCTAACAAGCTAATGGTATGTTTGATTTGCACTACCAGTTCCTGCTAGAGACATCATAACTTTTATTACAGACGTGGTTCTTGTTAGAGACTCAGTTGTCCACAGAAGAAAAAAAATATGCATTTATTTCACTCGAATCACTGTTTAACTCATTATTTGCAAGCACAGCACTGGCAGGGATCATGCTATCAGCTGCATTTCTTTTTAGTGTCCTTCACCGTTTCTACAGCAAACAGGGAAATCGTTCTGGCTGTTCTCCTTCCAGCTGCTTTGATATGCGCTGCCATTGCTGTCCCAAACCCTGGGAGGACAATCACGTTTCTGATTGCTACAACATTTGCTGTAAACTTTCTTAGAGCTGAGCAGTTAGACCCAGACTGACAGTTGCCATGGGGAAATAGGGATACAGAAGGAAGATAAACAAGAATACATTGAATTGGACTTAGCTCAGTGCAATATTTCTGCCTTGGTTTAGTCACTAGTAAAGAAAGACGGTATTCACACACATCATCACACCACAGCCTTTTGTAAAATAAACCTCACTGAAAGACAACATGTAAAGCAAAACGTAAGTATGTGCATTTTGTTGGTTTTTCCAATGAGCCAGAGTAGAAATCGTTAAGGTTGGAAAAGACCTCTAAGATCATTTAGTTCAGCTGCCCACCTACCACCAATATTGCCCACCAAACCATGTCCCTTAGTACCACATCTCCCCTTTCTTTAAACACCACCAGGGATGTGACTCCACCACTCCCCTGGGCAGCCTGTTCCAAAACCTCACCAGGATTTGTTGTGTACAGGTCCTCCATTGTGAGGTATCAATTTGCAGTTTTATCAAACATTGTGAATTTCAAATGCATAACATACTCTGAAAGCTGCTGAACTTTTGGTCCTCAGGGCATCCAGCCTGAGGAGCTTTTCTTCCCATCTTTGAAGTCACAGAACTCATAAAGCTGAGCAAAACTGTTTGTGAGTTTGTTTTCCGTCCATATCTCTCTCTTGCTTTAAGACCAGACAGAAGATGACATTATTAGCAGGCTGCTCACAAGCACCTAGTTGTTTAGGGGCAAGCTTTTTACTTCTGCTTTCAAGCAGAGATGAAAGATTGTAAAAACCTCTCTTTTTTTTTTTTTTCCTAAGGGAATTACAGCTCACAAAAGTTCTTGTAACTCCTTACAGCAGCTATTTTACTACTCAGAGAGAATATTTACTGGGTCACTTTCTTCCTGCAGCAGGCCTCAGTGTTAATAAACGGTGTCTGTGAGTTACTTTATGCTCTTCATACTTTATTTTGATCTAGCTGTGTGTTTAAGGAGCTAAAGAGAGTGTGTGTTGATGAACTGCTTACACCACAGCCTTGCTCTAGGCCAAAATGTAGAGGGCTTTTTTTTTTTTTTTTTTTTTTTTGGTGAGTTTTTGTAGGTGCACTGAAATCTGAAAAGCAGGGCACCCTGCCAGTGTTACTCTGTGAGTCTGTTAGCTGCTGCTCACTCAGCACTCACATCTGTCTTCACTAAGCAGGGACAGACCCCAGCACCCTGAGCACAGCACGCTCCAGAGCCACTTACAGACTGCAGAGCTGGGGGAGCCTGTGCCCCACGCCCCCCCCCACTGCAGTGTTTCTTCCATCACATCAAAGTCACAGCTTTGTTCCAGAAGGCTGTGTCACAGATCTGCTGGCCGTGAGGCTTTGGTACCAAAGGTAACAGAATGGGGAGGGCCAGGAGGATGTAGCCAGCAGGAACCCGGAGCTGGGCTCTCTCTCAGCCTTGCATCCTGTTCAAAAGGTCATGTAAAATACAGCAGAGAGTCTTT